AAAAAAAAAGCCAGGTGTGGCGGTGGGCACCTGAGGTCCTAGCTCCCAGGAGGCTAAGGCAAGAGGATTGCTTGAGCCCAGTGGGTCAAGGCTGCAGTGAGCTATGACAGTGCCACTGTACTCCAGCATGGATGACAGAGCGAGATTCTCACCTCTAAAAAAAAAATTATTTCATGAATAAGTACACATATAAATAATTTTCATTCAACAAGCTTTTATAACATAAAAGCAAGTTTTCACAATAGACCTCACCATTTAGGAAAAAAATCTGGGAGGAATACCTATCATACATTCAGTATTTTCAGTAATTCTGGCTGACCAGGAATACACTGGCGATATTAATAGTTTGGGATTTTAAAAAACATTTCGCTGGGGAGGAGAGAAGGAGGAGAAAACCAAACAATTCACTGGATTTTTTTTTTTTTTTTTTTTTTTTAAGTAGGGACTCACTCTGTTGCCCAGGCTGGAAGGCAGCGGCACAATCAAGGCTACCGCAGCCTCCTGCACTCAGGCAATCCTTCCACCTCAGCCTTCCAAGTACATGGAACTACAGGGTCACACCACCACGCCCCGCTAATCTCTTGATATATTGTAGAGATGAGGTCTCGTCAAGTTGCCCATGCTGGTCCTAGAACCTTTCGGCTCAAGGGATCCTCCTGCCTTCACCTCCCAAAGTGCTGGGATTACAGGCATGAGCCATTGTGCCCAGCATTGTTCCTTTTATATTATAAAGGTAATCCTATCATATACCCCAAATTTTCGGTATTTCTGACTGAACAGGCATACACTGGCGATATTAATAGTTAACTGGGATTTTAAAAGCACTTTACTGGTTCCTTTTTATTATAAAAGTAATTCCTGCTGGGCACAGTGGCTCATGCCTGTAATCCCAGCACCTTGGGAGGCCAAGGCAGGAGAATCCCTTGAGCTGAGTTCAGGACCAGCTTGGACAACATAGTGAGAATTTGTCTCAAAAAAAAAAATTAAAATATTAGCCGGACATGGTGGCTGACACCTGTAATCCCAGCACTTAGGGAGGCTATGGGGAAAGGATCACTTGAGCTCAGGAAGTTGAGGCTGCAGTGAGCTGTGATGGCGCCACTGCACTCCAGCCTGGGTGACAGAATGAGACCCCAACTTAAAAAAAACAAAAAAACAAAACTAATTCATATGACTCAGGAAAAAAATTTCACAGTCAAAAATGTATGAAGTAAAAATTAAAGTCCTATTTCTTCCTTTCCCTGCCCATGTCCAATACCCAAAGTTAACACTTGTTAATAGTTTAGGACAGATCCTTTCAGACAAGCATTTACAAATATATGTGGTATTTATAAATCAAGGACAGGAATAAAACCGGTCCTGAAGAAAAACCACAGCACAGGCCTTAGATGCTGTTAGGCCTCTCCTATTTCTTTTTGTTCTCTTCTTATTCAACTTGTTTTCCTCTCTCACTGAAGACAGGCCTTTTGGCTCCTCCGTTCATGAAAGACCATGGCCACCAACAAGTCCCAACTCTGTAGGACCTCAGAGTTCAAAAGTGCAACCAGACTATACTAGAAATTAATCCTGTTCCAAATCTGAAGAAGAGGTTTCTATTAGCCTATGATGAGTCAGGTTCCATCCTGTGACTTGCCTGGGGTGGGTCAACTTGGGGAGATGGGAGGATTCAGGTCAGAAAAAAACGTAAATATTCATTACAAGGTATTTTGATCCTCATTCCGTGTTGGTACATTCTCTTTAGAGGGTATGTAATAATCCATAGTATTTTAAAAGCTAGACAATATTATACACATTGAGATTGTCTAGTCTTTCATCATTATAAAAAACACAGCAACGAACAATTATCTATATTATACATCATGGACTTTGGGGGTAATAGAATATGTACTAGCTGGGTGTGGTGGCATGTGCCTGTAGTTCCAGCCACTCACCTGAGCCGAGCAGGTCCAGGCTGTGGTGGCTGTGAGTGTGCCACTGTACTCCAGCCTGGACGAGAGTGAGACTTCAACTCAAAAAAATAAATAAACAAAAGAATATGTACATTTGAAATTATCATACATATTGCTACCCTTCCCTCCAAAAAGGGTGTAACGTTTATGTAATGAAGATGACAATTCCACATAGACACCTGCATTGGACATTAACATTCTTTTTAAGCTCTGCCAAAGCATTATGTGGAAATGAAAAGATACTTATTCATCTATTCAACGATATTTACTGGTTGTTTATTCTGTTCCAAGCCTCATCCTTGGGATCACAGCAGAAAACAAAACAAAACCCTTGCCTTCATGGAGCAGTGGCAATTACATCAACGTAAATGTTGATGAGTGCTATGAACGAAAATAAAGGGTAAGATGGTTTGACTGGATTGGATAGAGTTTGTTATTTTAATCGAAGTGGCTAAGGAAGGACTGTATAATAGGATCACATTCAAGCTGAGAACTGAAGACATAAGGGTAAAAACTAGGTAGATACCTGGGGAAAGGGCAGTCAGGCCCCGGAGAAGCAGCATGCCTGGCAAATCCAAGGAAGAGCAAATACTGGGAGATTGGGGCAGAGTGAGCAAAGGATACGATGTAAATAGGATAACAGAGGGATAAGATGTAAAGGTAGGATCTAGAGAACATCTTCATCGTGACTGCAAGCAGTCTGCGCTGTCTGTAATATTAACAAGAGCAAAAGATCATTTTGCAGTTGCAACCTCCCATTTCCAGACTCCTCGGAGTTCTCAGCTCACTGGCGCGTAATCTCTGCAGATGGCTGTAGTACAAGAATGGTTGAGGGCATTCATTCATTCAGAACTCTGACCTTCTGCGTATCTAAGTAAAGTCTAATCCATGCTGGTGACACTTGTCGGGAAAACGTTCCCGACCTCACAACCCACTGATCCCAATTGAACCTAGTGGACCAGGCACGGGCGGAGAGCAGCTGCGCCTGCGCAGTGGCGCCTCGCGGCCCCGCCCAACCCGTCAGTGGGCGGGGATAAATCGGCCGCGAGGCGCCTCTCTGCGGAAGCGGTCGCTGACTGCCCCATTACGTGTCGGGGGAGCGAGGCGCGTCGCAAAACGTCGCGAGGAAACGTCCCCACGGTCTTCAGCCCTGACGCTTTACGGTACTAGGCAGTGCTGAGCGGGGAGATGTCGGCGGCGGGCTGGGCGGATCCCTCGCGTCCTCCCAGCAGCTTTGCGAAGCGGGTCCTGGTGACCGGGGGTGCTGGTTTCATGTAGGTAATGGCGCCGCTAGCCAAGCAGTGTCTCCCCAGAAACCTCCGCCTTTTCCCGCGGTTCTGCTTGCCCTTGGCAATTTGGGTCCAGCTTTGGGGGGCGGGGGGAAGGGCGTGGGTCCTCGTGCGCCACCTGGAGCGTCTCGGCTTCCCCTTTCTCCCTGGCCTGCGAAGACGTGGTTCCCGTGACACTGCGGCTTCTTTAAAACGCATCCCTCTCAAAGCAAGAGTGCCGTGGTCCTATCCGC